TGTGGCAAATCAGGAGCTGCAGCTGAACATACTTCCTGCATACATCATCATCATGAACACTGGAAGTGTCACTGAGTTCCCACATATTGTAAGAAGAGCACTGCATGGGGCTTAGTTCTCCTTCCATTTCAAACCCTATCAACTAAATCAACCTTATCAACTACAGACAATAATCCAGGAACTGATTACCTACTCATCACCAAACTCAGGTAACTGTCTCCCGCTCTCTAGTGGATCCTGGCAGATTACAACTCCAAAAAGCACATACATTATCCCTCTCCAGGCACTACTCGCAGTCTGCAAATCTGCTTCCTGAGCAGCCATGCCTATGCTGTGACATCACCTCCAGATCTCCACCCCTAGAATCAGCTCCAGTTTGCTCCGACTGGGATTTGGGATTGAGATCAGAGATGCTGTAAAAAGGACAATGACTGCCTCGTTAAAATGTTCCTGTTTTGTGCATACTCAACGAAAATACTTTAACTGTGACTTCATCAGCTTCCAGAAGGTGTTTACATGATGGCTTTTTTAAAAATACACATACATATATCAGTTATTTTGAAAAGGTCTTTTATTGCTAACTTTGGCTTGTTGTCCTTCTGCCAGTTTAAATACTGCAGTGGTTTGGAAATTATGGAGATAGTAGGAACTGCCGATGCTGGAGATTCTGAGATAACAAGGTGTACAGCTGGATGAACAGCAGGCCAAGCAGCATCAGAGGAGCAGGAAAGCTGACGTTTCGGGTCGAGACCCTTCTTCAGAATTTTATTTCTTTATTTTTGGAAATTATGGTCTCTTTTTGTGTTCTGTGTCAGTTTAATTGAGATTTAGTGGTCAGAATATTAAAGAATTCTCCTAATTCTGCTCCTTTGAGAGTTAAAATACCTTGTACATCTATCACTACTCTGTGTTTGTGTTATACATGACTGCATTACCTAATCAAATGAGTTAGTGTGAATGCAAATGGATTCCCAAGAACTAAAAGATCGCCTTCCAAAATTAAGTAACCTTCAAACAAGTTCCAAGGACAGACCTCGAAAAACATTAAATAGTTCACTCACTGACCATTTCTCATGCTCTTCTGGAAACCACACACTGGCCTATCTTGGAACCATTCATTCAGTGTTGCTGGGTCAAGCTCCTAGAACTCCCTTTCTAACAGCACTGTAGGTGAACTGCTACCACATGGTCTATAGCTGAAGAGGGCAGCTAGCTCAACAGGGTCTTTCTGCAGGCAATAAAGGATGAGCACCAAATATTCGCATTGCCAGAGACACTCATCCCACAAATACATAAAAACAAAATGCAGCGACTGCGTTTATAGAAGTTATTAATTTAGTTTAGCAAGTCAAATTTTCTTTCATATAATTCGTAGCATGTTGAACATGTTTGAGCACTGTGTTGAAGTTACAACATCCTTACTCACTGAATAAACCTCTCACCACTCTGAATAAGCTCACCCCTTTACTGATTGTAGATCGAGCAAGATTGGAGATTTAATTATCAATCAACAGAAAGAACTGAAATAAATTACGACAGTTTTTCCCTAATCCTTTTGGATTGTTAAATGTAGATTGTTCTTACAGAATCTTCATATTTAATATTATTGGAGCACTTCAGTTTTGAACAACCGTGGAAAAAATGATTTATTTCAAGCTTTTGTGGAAATATTGGGACTGATTTCTTTAAAAGGATTGTTGAAGGTTTACTGTGAACATTGGAGACTTGCTTTAAAAATAAACAAGATATCCCAGAATTCTAGAGACTGGTGATAACCACATCTTTTACTGGTGGACCCATGAGATTGTAGACATGTTCACTGAGCTGGTGGGTTTGATTTCAGACATTTCAGCACCCTGCTAGGCCACATCGTCAGCGTGCCTCCGGTGAAGCAGTAGTGTTCCGTCCCGCTTGTTATTTATATGCCTCAATTCGCTGGGGTGATTAGTATTACTTCCGGTTTTGTTCGTCAATATCCCATACCTAAACCCAGCAAAACCGGGGTAATATACAGAATACCGTATAAGGACTGTGAAAAACACTACACAGGCCAAACCGGAAGAAAATTGACAATACGGATACATGAAGATCAACTAGCCACCAAGAAACACAACGAATTCTCACTTGTCTCACAACACATGGACAATGAGGGACATGAAATCGCCTGGCACAACAAATCCATAATTGCACACGCCAAACACAGAAAGGCTAGGGAATTCCTAGAGGCCTCGTATTCCAACCGGAACGCCATCAACGAATGCACCGGATTAGACCCTGTGTACAAACCAATGACAAACAGAACCGCAAGTACTACTGACCACCCCCAGCAAACCGAGGCATATAAATAACAAGCGGGACGGAATGACGACGTTTCACTGGAGGCACACTGACAATGTTACATAGCAGGGTGACAAAACGTTTGCAACCAAACCCACTGGTTCGGCGAGCATGTCTACAACCTCATCCACAACCGAAACTATAATCTGGTGGACCCATGCTGGAGCACTGTCCATCTGGAACTAGTTAGGAAAACAAAATGACTGTGAGGAAGGACTACCCAACTGATCTGTCCGACATCTGAAAAGGAAATCCACCTGTTGAGTTCAGGGTGAAAACTAGGTGAACTTCTTCGTCTTATATTTCTTGAGCTAGCTGCATTTGCCAAGACTCCAGCGACAATAATGTATGACGAGTGACTTTAACACACTTGTTAGACATAAGTTTTCAGAAATATTTATACCTTACCCTTTATGCCTTACAAAACAACCCTAAATGGCCAGAGTGTTTGTTTAAGATGAATATTAAAGTGACCCCTGTTCAAGGAATTCCTCCCTCCCTTCCCCAACTTTTAGTTCAGGGTGATGTGTGTACGTGTTATTTATTGGGTGATTTATAGACAGACATTTATACGTCCCAAGTTACCACTGTGTATATTAACCAGTTATTGGATTTTCATTGAAGTAGTTTTGTTTTGACAACAAACCATTAATTGTCTTTACTTAGAAGCCCAGCTGACAGCTATTTTTATTTAAAATGTGATACAGATAAGGTATTGAATTAGCCATCTTGGTTACAGAGGAAAAGTCTTTATGTTATCACCTGCTGAGTAATGGGACTAGAGCAATTGTGCACTTCAGCTTCAGTCACTATACAGTGCAATTCATTTTCCTCAATTACACCTCCACTGAAATCATAGTTTCTCACACTCAGGTTGTGGAAGCTGCTACAATTAATTTGTAGGCATTTTCATCCTTTTGAGAGGTCACATGCCCTGCAGTGATATCTTGACAAATATTCATCAAAATAGCAAAACATAGAAAGCAAGGAAAATTTCAGAAACCAATATGGAGTAAAGGAAGTGGTGATAAGTAAGGCAATGGAATTTTGGCATTTATTGCTGAAGGAAAAAAAAAGTTTAAAAGTAAGGCAGTGTTGCTACAACTGTATAAGGCATTAGCAAGACAGCACCTGGGAGTATAGCATACAATTCTGGTAGTCTTACTTGAGGAGAGATATTTGCATTGGAGGCAGTTCAGAGGAGGATCACTAGATTGATTCCAGATAGGAGGGGTTTGTCTTGAGCGAGATTGGATAGTTTAGGCATATACTCTCTGGAGTTCAGAAAAATGAAAGGAAATATAATTGAGGTCTGCAAGATACTAAAGGAGGTTGACAAAGTAGATGTAGAGTAGATGTTTCCTCACGTGGAGTAAACTGGAACAAGCGGTCATAATTTTAAGATAAGCGGTGGCAGATTTAAAACAGGGAAGGGGGGACATTGCTTCTGAGGGCTGGAAATCTGTGAAATACATTCCTCCAAAGTGTGCTGAATGCCAGGATATTGAATGGATTTGAGACAGACTTCTAATTGGTAATGGTTTGAAGGACTATGGGGAATGTCAAGAGATGAGATCAGCAGTGATCATATCAATTGGCAGAGCAGGCTCAAGGGGCTAAATAGCCTCCTCCTATTGCTTCAATTTTTGTTCTTAAAACATTGAAAGTTTTCAAGGAGGAGTTAGATATAGTCTTTACGGCTAAAGACATTGAGGATATGGGGAGAAAGTGGGAACAGGTACTGAACAGGATGATCTGCCATTTTTCATGTTGACTGGCAGAGCTAGCTCAAAGGATCAAATGGCCTATTCCTTGCTTTATTTTCTCTGTTGCGATGAAATGCATTATATCCCTGCATCTCAGCAGTGGCATGGTAGCTGAGTTTTTCATTAAATGAATCTGCTTTATGCAATAAGTCTTACAACCAATTACAGATAAGATTTCTTTGAAAGGTTCAGCCGAGGCTGCAGCCACTAAAAACCATACATCAGAATATCAAATGAAGGAGAAAAAAAAACAAACAGTAGTAGGGGAGATATATCTTTAATAAAAATGCTTAACAGCTAAAAATGTTGATAATTGTGCGAAAAGCCCGCTCAAAAGAAAATACAGGCAAGTTAGAGAAACATGGTGCACAAATTGAAGCATGATGAAGGAGCCCTTTCATGATGAGCATTCCAAACAGTCAAGATTTCATATTAGAAAGTGAACAATTTACCTTTAGTCCCAAGAATTTCTTCTTTCCATTATAAAAAACTTGAAATGAAAAGAACTTTTGTGGACTGACTACGCAAATAGTTAAGTGGTGAAAGCTATTTTAAAATCACAAATCTAACACCTGAAACTTGAGTATCCAAACCAGATGTCCCTGTATTATATTTTGTTAAATACTCAACACAGAACTCTCCACTGAAATGATTACTTAACCAAAGTGTCAAAATGTCAAAAACATTTGGTTCAATTCCTGAAAAAAAAAGTACGTTATAATACATTTTTTGGGTGGCTTATCTGGAATTGACAACTGACACAATAGAGGATACTAAAGTCAGGCAAATGCGAGTCACCCAGGGCAAAGTGATTTTCAGAGTACTACAACAGAAAGTGTTCCTTCCAATACCAGGTGCATCAATATAATTTTTCAGGACATGGGCATCAGTACATACCAACCCTAAGTTGACCTCGAAGACAGTGGGGCAGAGTCTTTGTGAACCACTGTATACCAGGTCCTGATGGTATTCACACAATGCTTTCAGGTGGGAACGAGACTGCAACAACAATGCATAAATCAATCAGACAGTGTGACCTGCAGATAGTTTTTTCCAGGTATTTGTTGCCCTGTCCATCTAGTTAGTAGCAATCTGGGGATGTCGCCGAAAATGCTTTAGAAACTTGTTGTTATGTATCCAATAGACATAATACATGGTAGCCAAGGCATATCAGTGTTGGCACAATTAGATGTTCAAGCTGACTGATGAAGTGTTTGTTTTTTGAAGCAAAAGCTCATGGAATTCATCCACTTTAAAATCACTTCCTGCATGGAAGATTGTTTTGTAATTCACTCGTGGGAGTTGCTGGCTGCCCAGCATTTATTGCTCGTCCATAATTATAGTCATACAGCACAGAAACAGGCCCTTCAGTCCAAATCAAATATGCCAACCAGGTTTCCTAAACCGAGCTAGTCCCATTTGCTCGCATTAGTCCATTTCCCTCTAAACATTTTCTATCCACGTACCAGTTCAGATGACCTTTAAATGTTGTAATTGTACTCGCCTCTGCCACTTCCTCTGGCAGCTCTTTCCACATACACACCACCGTTTGTCTGAAAAGCTGCCACTCAGGTCCCTTTTAAATCTTTTCCTTCTCAGCTTAAACCAATGCCTTTTAGTTGTGGACTCCCCTACCTGGGGAAAAGACTTTGGCCATTCACCTGATTTATGCTGCTCATGATTTTGTAAAACCTTGATAAGGTCATCCCTCAGCCTCCTACACTCTGGGGAGAAAAGTTCCAGCCTACCCAGTCCTTATAACTTGAACCTTTCAATCTTGGTAACATCCTCATAAATTGTTTTTGTACCCTTTCCAGTTTAATGATATTCTTCCCATTGCAGAGCAAACAGAATTGTACGAAGTAGTTCAAATGTGGTCTTACCACTGTCTAGTACAGTCTTAACATGACATCCCACTCCTGTACTCAATACTCTGACTGATGAAGGCAAACATACCAAATGTGTTCGTCACCTCCCTGTCTACTTGTGTTGCCACTTTCAAGGAATTGTGTACCTGCACCCTTAGATCTCTGATGAAGGTGGTGATGAGCTGCTTTCTTGAACTGCTGCAGTCCATGTGCTTTTCGTTGACTCACAGTACCATTAGGGAGGGACTTTCAGAATTTTGAGCCAGCAATAGTGAAGGAGTGGTGATATATTTCCAAGTCAGGATGCTCAGGGTTTTGAAGAGGAACTTGCAGATGGTGGTACTCCCATGTACCTGCTGCCTTAGTTCTTCCAGACGGAAGTGGTCAAAGGTTTGGAAGGTGCTGCCTGAAGATCTTTGGTGAGTTTCTGTAGTGCATCATATAGATAGTACACACTGCTGCTACTGAGCATTGACAGTGGAGGAAATGCATAGATGTAGTGCCAATCAAGCAGATTGCTTTGTCTTGAATAGTGTCAAGCTTGAGTGTTGTTACAGCTGCATCCATCTCGGCTAATGGAAAGCATTCCATCACAATTTTGACTTGTGTTTTGTAGAGGTAGATGGACTACGAGGAGTCAGGAAGGGAGTTACTTGCTGCAGCATTCCTAGCCTCTGACCTGCTCTTGTAGAGACTGTGTTTATGAGGAGAATCAACTGAGCTTCTGGTCAATAGTAACTCCCAGGATGGTGGTAATGGGCGAATTCAATGATGGTAACACTATCGAATAAAAGGGGCAGTGGTTAGATCATCTCTTATTGGAGGTGGTCATTGACTGGCATTTGTGTAATATGAATGTTACTTAATATTTGATACGCCCAAGCCTGGAGATGGTCCAGATTTTTATACGCCTTCTCAAACATTAGAGATGGGACACAGCATTCATGCTTTTCTGACAACGTAAACTTCACAACTTTAACAACTTCGTGAATTGAAAGCTGCAGCAATAACTCTTTCTAGAATAAACTGTTTCTCAAGATGGAAAAAGACAAAGACAAGTGGTTGCACAGAAACTGAAAGCAATTAGCCATATCTTGGTAAGATTACATAAACAAAATTGCTTTGACACCTGCTTGATAAACTGGAGGCTTTATTGCTGCAAAGGACAACTGATTGCCCTGCAGAAAAATTTAAGGGGTTAACCGCAGGAAAAGCTGGGTTTTAAACAGTTAACCCCAAATGTAACAAAGGAACAGGGGAGCTACTGCTGATACGGTGACAAGCTACAGAGTAGAAGTCTCCAAAAGAATAATCAATGTTGGGGATGAAAAAAATCTATTGAAACATCAATAATGTCACACCACAAACTTGAAAAAGAGAAAATTATACAAGAATCCAGCACCAGAACTTCAAAGAACAATACAACAAAAGGAGCAAACCCTGGATACTGCCAGAGATAGACCTGTTAGAGGAATACTGGCAAAGTTCCATCATTAACTTGGCTATTACCTGATTGTGAGGCTTAACTTGCTTACTTGAGGGGTCTTATTTTGGTTGTTACATGCAATAAATTTTGAATCTACGTTTCACTACTTGATTGTTTGAGAGATTTCTTCACAAGTAGCTGAATTAAAACGTAACTTGTGGCGATTTACCCACAACACTATAGATACAATATGGCCTTATCTTGTCCATTGGTAGGCTACGTTATAAAAACTCTAAACAACTGTTTATGTCATTAATTATGCAACTGGGATATGATGCTTTCAAAGACAGCTATGAGGCTTGTCAAAGATTTTGCATTCACAGATAGCACATAGAAAACTTTTGAATAATATCAAAAAAGGTGGTGTGGTAAAACTAGGTCAGAATCATGTTATCTAGAGAACACTGGATAAAAGAAAACCATTTTGGTTATACAATATGATCTTTATCAACAGGAAGCTCTTCTGTCTGCTGGAAACTAATTCATACTGTTGTTCTTCTTGTTCGGGATTTTTTTTTTTACATGATTACACAGACATCATGGTCGTGTTCTCCCATAGAAGAGCAAATGCATCAGCTCATGGGGATTTCTCTCACTTTTGGTTAGTAGTAGGTACTGAAAAGCTCTTTGCTCTTGCTGGGGAAATCTAGAGCAGGGTACAGTAAAACAGTTTCAAGATAATAGCTTATCATTTTGGGCTCAGATGAGGAGAAATTTCTTTACTCAAAAAGATTGTGAATGTCTCAGCCTTGACAACACTTTTGGTTTCTCAGGATATTAAGGATGGAGATTGGAATAGGCACTTATGCGGAGCTCAAGTCATTATCATACCTAATGGAAGATCAGGCTCAACAGGCCGTCGGGTCTTTTCCTGCTTCAGTTTCATATGTAGATTTAAAGCAACAACTATAAATCTTGCATTCAGGTGTTAAACCACTTTATTGCATCACAGGTAGCAAGACATAGTACAATAAATAACTCAATGCCTAATATGCAAATTATAAAAGGAAGATATATGTTGGATGGTTTATTTTAGGGGAGAAAAAAATGGTCGGTGCGAGATTGAAAATTTAACAATTCGTCAATCAAGTATCTGTATCTGCTCTGGTTCTTGCTAATGCAGTTTAATGTCATCTAAGGGGACATTGCAGATGATCAATGCCAAGATTCTTCTATAAAGCCTTTCACAAGGATTTTGCTTCTGACATTTTAAAAATTACATTGAGTACAGCAATAGTCATTTCATCCTGCCATACTTTTGGAATCTACGCTTATTCCATAGTATTGAGGTACAGTTTCACCAGCCACTAGAGTCTCTTGGGGTCGAAGTGAAAAAGATTCCATAGAAAAACCATCAATGCCAGCTGGCTGGCTTCACTTTCTTCTTGAAGATCAACTCTCCCTCTCACACAGACAATTTATTGCACAGAAAAGAGAGAGCCACACAAGTAGCAGGTGTATATAGGAAACATTTAAAAAAAAACTATTTGGTTATAACAATAGATTTATCCATAAGATGCACTGCAGAAATTCACCAAAGACCCTTAGCACCTTCCAGAACCACGACTACTTCCATCTAGAGGGACAAAGGCAGCAAGTACATGGGAACACCACCACCTGCAAGTTTGTCAAGCCATTCATCATACTGACCTGGAAATACATTGCCATTCCTTCATTGTCATTGGATCAAAATCCTGGAATTCCCTGTCTAAGGACTTGGTGGATCAAAGTACAACATTGTACCATGGCAGTTCAAGAAAGCAGCTCCACCACCAGCTTCTCAGGAGCAACTAGGAATGGACAATAAAAATGACATCCACAAGATATACATATAAAAAAAAACTGTGGCTTTTGGTGCAAAAATGGCTTTTTAAACACTTTGCATTTATTCTTCATAGGTCTTCTCCGCTGGTTTCTCTGGTTGCATCAAATTCCTTAGTTTCGCACAAGTCTTGCTCCCAATGGTGCTCAAGGAACCATTACGTTGTCTTCAGCCATTCTGTTTGCTTTTAAGTATGCATTAATACGCTCATACGCGGAATCCAACTTTCTGCCTCTTTGTTAAACAGTCCCATCACTTCAAATTGGTCTGCCATTTTGTTTTCCCACCACTCGAGTCTAAGTCAGTAGCTCCTCTCAGCCCGAGTCCCCTTGGTGAACGCTCACCACGACGATTTCAGTAAGCTCCCGGGTGAGTACACACCTTTTCAGCCATTGGTTGCAGCCCAAATCCCCTCAGGAGCACTGTTCTCAGCTCACTTGCCGCTGAGTGCCCTTCTACCCCAGTGTCAACCACAGCCAGAGTCCCTTCACAACTGCTTCCCTTGACATCTTGTTCTGTTTTCTAACAAGTCTACCACACCACTTCCTCAATCCCGCATCATTTTCAAAGTCTGGGTAATGTTTGATCTCCTCCCTTCCTTTTGAAAACAGCAGTAGCACACAGTTGGCGGGCCGTGACTCAGCTTTGTCACCAGTTATTATGTTTGGGTCTAATTATAAATTATAAAAGAACACGAGGTAGGCCTGCAGAAACTTGAACCAGGAATAGTTTATTTTATGTCTTTATGGTTACACAGGTGGTCCTAAACTGCCCCCTCAAGTTCCCCTCAGTCACCTAACCCACTCTCAGAGGCAGCACACACACCTCAATTATATACATAATGGTTGGACACTAACTTTAGTTTAAAGCCAAAAGTGTTCAGCAAGTATTGATAAGTTGTTTTCAAATATTAAAATGCACCTTAGCAATCCTGCACAGGGAAATGCATTATTAATTTCAGCAAAAATGAATTCCAGTTAAGTTTCACAACCTCCAGCTGATTTTGGAGTCTGAAATTGGAATGTTTTGTGGTCAAGCCAGTTGGAACACGGAAATTAAATGTCTCAACGAAAAGACTCCAAAGCAAGCTACTGAAAAATTCTAGAATTTCCTGAAGAATTTGTTTACTCTAAAGAAAATGCACACAGCACAACTGATGAAAATACATCCAAATTATCCAAGTGCAGAGGGTTGAGGTACAAGTTTCAGAACTGATGCTCAAAGAAACCAAAGACACCACAGATGTATTTATGCAGTTTAAAATCAGCCATAACAAAACCCAACCAGCTTAGTTAACAAAGTAGATAACAGGCCAGTTTCTAATTATTTGCCCACATAGGACTCTCTAATCACAGGGTTGTGGCCTCCAGGACGAGTCAAAAAAGGGAGAAAAATAAGCTACAGATCTACCTCTCTAGATTCCACAAGAAAGCCAAACCTGCCAAATAAGAGTAATAAATGAAGATTGCAAACTCCCTAATCCAGATGCTACATAACATACTTCACTGTATTGTGTTAACTTACTTTTTAAATTTATGAAGTGTGCCTTAAACTGATGCATAGTTAGACTGGTTTAGTGATCTGCACCAAGGTTTCTCTAACACTCAAGTCTTAGTCTGCTACTAATGCAGCAGATCAGTTAGCAACCCACATCTTCTGGATGTTTTATTATCTAACTAAAACCTACATTTGGTGAATTTTAAGTACAGAAACATCTGACTGTAGTTCCTGAAACTTTATTAAGGAAAACAGACCATATTCAAGAGACTGAGCGAGGTGCCTGAAAAATTGTTTTAATGAGATGATTTTGATCCAGAGGACTGAAAGTTTTGCCATGACCACGCACTTGGGATAAACACATGTGCAATTTGTACCTTTTTTGGCGAGGGATTCAAGCCGTTGGGCATTCAATTACAAGTTCAAACAAATTATAAATTAGAGGAGCAGGGTAGAATTAAAGAGAATGTTCCCATAAGTGATATAATCTCAAATTAAAGGGCTAAAATTATTGTTTACAATTTTTTTAAACTGGCAAATAAAAACACGCGTCTTTACTCAGGTAAATTTAGAATGTGGAGCTCACGACCACATGAAATAGTGAGGGAAATAGCTTAAATGCTTTCAAAGCAAGTACGAAAAAAAGAACTGAAAAGCTGAGATGAGGAAAATGGAAAGGGGAGCTTCTTATTTTGAGTATTAAAAGCTGCCTAAATTAGTTGGGTTTAATGACCCGTTTCTGTCCTGTAGATTCTATGTAACCTCAGAGCACCATGGCACTTTTCACCAATTGTCAATTCAGTTTGTTTTGTTAAGAGCAATCAATTTTTTCAGTATTGTTGGTAAAAGTATTTAGACGATGTAACATTTTTGGAGGATGTTTCAAAGTACTTTGTAGCTAATTAAATTACTTGAAGTGTGCCAACTGTCATAGTTGGATAAATGCAACAGCCAAATTCTGTACAAGATTTCATTTAAAAACAAATCAACAAACTGAATGATTAGCTATTTGTTTTTAGTAGAGTTAGTTGAGAGGAGTGTTGATGAGGACACTTGGGGGGATCTCCCTCTTTTGTGTTTGATTTGTATCCTGGGATCTATTATGTCTATTTCAACAAAGTGAAAACACTTGTCACATTTAGCAATGTAAATTTTGCTAAAAAGGCTTACCCATCTTTATTCACCTTTAGGTGAGTGGCTTGTTTGGTCATTTCAGAGGGCAGTTCAGAGTCAATCACACCGCTGCAGATCTGGTGGCACATGTAGGCGAGAACAACTAAGGACTGCAGATTTCCTTCCCTGAATGACATACCGAATTTTGCTGAATTTAAAGTTTCACCATCTGTCATGATGTGATTTGAACCCAGTTCCCAAGAACATTGAAAGGAATCCACTGACATTACCAATATGCCATTTTACATTATTATGTATTGCTCATTTTCTGGTGGGTCCTGAGGCTGTTTAGAATGGAATCATAATTTACAGCACAGTGGAGGCTATTTAACCCATTATGCTCGCACCCAATCTCTAAGAAGATCACACCTGTACCATTCACCCACCCTTTTCCAGTGGGCCCTTCAAATTTTCCAATTCTCCTTTCGAGGTTTCAATTGAAACTGCTTCCAACATAGAGGCTGTGCAATCCAGATTCCAAATGCTTGTTGCATGATAAAAAGCTTTTCCTCATGGCACCTCTTTTGCCTCTCAAATTAAAATCTGTAATCTCTAGTTCTAAGCCCAATCAACAGGCACATTCTCTCCCTATTAATCTGTCTAGATTCAAAAAAATCTCAATTTTGTCTTTTCAATAACAGGCCCAGTTTCCCAAATCCATCCATGTAAGTGAAATTCCTCAACCTTGGGACCATGCTCCTAAAGCTTTCCAGCAGTCTCTAATTGTCCTTCGATACATCCTGTGTATTGCTCACAACTCTCCATTATCCTACCTATATCATCAATTCTGAGGCCTGAAAAATCTGAATATATTCAATGCTGAGAAGCAATGACAGAGCATCCACAACCTTTTGGAGCAATAATTCCAAAGATTCACATACTTTAAGTGAAGAGATTTTTCTTCATCTCATTCTCTTTATCCTGAGACTGTGGCCCTGTGTTTGAGATTTCGAAGCTAGGGGCAAACAACCTCTTTTTTATTTCTTAGAAAGGAAAGCAAAACAATATTACTTGGCATTGTTCATATCCTTAGCATGTCCCATGTACTTTAAGCAAAGGAAGTATTTTGATATGCAGTTAATCTAGTAATGAAGAGAAGTGTGATTGTGTCCTACCAGGGTGCAAACTAACAGCAAAAAAGGTACATGAGCAGATAATCTATTCTGGGGACAACTTTGTGAACATAGCATAGATGAAACTTCAGATTACAGTTGTGTGTGAATAACAACTTCTCTAGAAGTGTCACACTCCCTTCATGCCAAGTGAAATGATGAAGCAAATTGAATGCTCAGCTGCAGATAGAACTAAGTATATCATCTGACTGGTGTGACATTGCCAAAACAAAAAAAAAAATCAGATGAACATATGAGCATTATTACAAACAGATAACTTCCAAAACAAATCACTCCCTATTTTCACTACCTATCCATGCTTCACATTTTTCTCTACTAAACAGTGGAGGTAACTATTCCCAACTCCCTCATGCAACAGTCTCATACTGTTTAAAAGGACAGAAACAACACTCCAGTACCATTGTATCACAAGTAGGATTTATTTCACACACACTTGGACGTGGGGGAAAACACTTTACAACTCAAACATGCTTACAAAGGAGTTGTAATTGAAAAGGATTATTCAATGAATAACAACTGGTGTACAAGAACAACTGAAAGGTACAATCTCCTGTTCATAATGATGTGAAACAGGAGTTAGCAGTCTGGAAGTGGCTGATGGGCTAGCCAAGAAGTTGTGGGAAATTTCTTTTCTTCAAAAATCTCTTCAAAAGCAACAAAATATTTACTGCAGGGAGCAGATACAGGTTGTGGGCTGCTTTTGAAAATAATATAGGCCAAGTTTCAGTTTGTTGATGTTATCAGATGTGGAATGGAGCAGTGCTGACCTCTAACCTGACATTTCTGATGAAGGGTCTAGGCCCGAAACATCAGCCTTCCTGCTCCTCTGATGCTGCTTGGCCTGCTGTGTTCATCCAGCTCTACACCTTGTTATCTCTGCTATTTCAAAATTGTGTGGTTGAAGCCATTAACATATCTAGTAGGATGATTATAACTTGCAATCTTATATGCAATTTCCTTGGCGACAAGTGCCTTTGCAGTAGATGTAACACAATAGATAACATTCCAGATCCACAAAAGATAGAGTGTAAATTGTCTGCATATATTGACTTTTAAAATGAAGGTTATTGCCAAGTCCAGTCTTATAATAGCTTTCCTTGTAGGGCTGTTTAATGGATTGCTGAAACTGTCATCAAATAAGTATTTAAATTAGGTCTTACGCTGTTCATGACATGCATGTGTGCATTAACATGAGATCCAAACAAGGAAAGTTAAAATGTAATGCAGAATAATGTAAACAAAAACTTTTCACAAAGAATACGTCACTTTGCGTAAAAAATCTAAGTGGACCGTAGGAACAGGAGCAAGTTATTCAGCTCATCTAGCCTGCCCCGCCATTCAATACTAACATGGCTGAATGAATACTTCAATGTTTTTTTACTTACCTCATTCCCATAACCCTGTATGCTGTCAGTCAGAAATCTGTCAATCTCCACCTAAAACATATGTAAAGATGGAGTTGCCACAGTCCTGTGTGGTACAAAATTCCAAAGGTTCACAACCATCTAGGTAAAAAAAAAATCTCATCAAGGACCCAAGTGGTTTGGCTCTTATTTTTAAATTCTGTCCCCGGTCGTAGAGAAAACATCTGACCTGCAACTACCATGTCAATCCTTTTAAGTATCTTGTAAGCTTCAAGCAGATCACCTCTCATTCGTCGAAAATCTGTAGAACACAGACTCAGTTTACTCTTCAATGGACATAAACTCCTGCAATCCCAGAAATATGTCTAGTGAACGTTTGTTGCAGTCCTATGGCAATATCATCTTTCCTGAGATAAGGACAGCAAAACTGCTCACAGTATCCCAGAGTCTAACTCTTTTACAACTGAAGCAAGAGTTCACTACTTCTGTACTCAAATCCTCTTGCAATAAAGGCTAACATTCCATTAGCCATCCTAATAGCTTGCCCTACCTGCACAGTAGCCTTCAGACATCAATCAGTAGATCAACACTCCACAACATAAGAACTATCTTGTAAACAGGTTACGCCACCAAAGCAGGTAACTTAATTTTTCCACATTATAGTTATCCACCATGTTCTTGCCCATCCAAAGCCTGTCCAAGTTCTCCCGATGTCATTTTCCACCTTCCTCAAACATACATTCACACTTAGCTTTGCAGCTAACAATATTAATTTTGGTCCCTATCTCCAAATCATTGATATATATTGTGAACAGCTGGGACCCAAGTACTGATCCTTACAGTACCCCATTAGTCACAGCCTACCAATTGAAGAGGGAAGCCAGCCAAAGATCTGAAACGAGATATGGAAGTGTACTTTTATTACTGAAGGAAAGTGGTAACGCTATTTATTATTAACTAAATCAAAAAAAAAGTAATCTTACCTGATCTAAGCAGTTGACACGCACATTTTTACTGCCCAGCAATCTTCCAGTCTCCTGAACATTTCCTGCAACAAAAAAAACAAATTTAAGTTCCATTGCCCGAATAAAGCCCATGAATTGAACATCCGAGTCACATCTTGAGATGTCGTAATAAAACATTGCCTTGGTGGGGCTCTTGTGGCACAGTGGTAGTGTGAGCCAGGAGGCCATGGTTTAAGTCCACCTGCTCCAGTGTTGTGTAATTACATCTTTGAATAGGCAGATAGAAAGAATCAATGTCCAACCATAACATTCAGGTGAGGAAGTGTGAAACCTGGAAATTATTGGACATGTGAAAATATAATCTTGTTCCCATTTTAATCTCATACATTCCAATTTTATTTACATAGACGAATGAAAACTTCTGCATGCACATCCATAAATTAAAATCACTGGTCATATTGTGACTTCATCCTGCTACTGGGTGCACGATAGCATCTCCACTCGTGGAAGGACGTAATCATAGTGTGACAAGTTTAAGCACGAGTTCATAACAGAAATGTTCATTTGTCTAGAGTAGACACTCTCCCGTGTTTCTATATTCAGAAAACTTAATCACTTCAACAAGAACCCACTGTAGTTGGAGCTAATAAATATAAATCATTATGGACACAGGAATGGAATTAGGCCATCTCGTACCTTAAATCTATTCTACTGTTCAGGGCTATTCTGCAACTTAACTTCGCATACACCAATAAGTTCTGAGAAAGGGTCATTGGACTCAAAACATTAACGCTGTTTTCTCTCCACAGATGCTGCCAGACCTGCTAAGTTTCTCCAGCACTTTATGTTTCAGAATTCCAGCATCTGCAGTTCTGTTTTATTTTCACGAACACTATGTCCTTCTGTACAAGCGGTAAATCTTAAATTTAGAATGAAGAATTTATCTAGTAGCAACTGGTATTTATGACAGAGATTTCAAAGTTTCCTAGATATTTCTCAACTTCATACCCAAATGGTTTGGCCTAAATTTTTGACCAAGCCTCTTTGACCTAGACTTGTCAACCAGTGGAAATAATTGGTTTGTGCCCTATTTGTTCCCCTCAATATTATCAAACCTTTGATCAAATCACTGGTTAAGCTTAGATATTGAAGAGAATACAACCTTTGTGTAATTTTCTTCAGTTTAATCCTTGAAGCCCAGGTGTCATTGTGATAAAGTTACATGGCACTCAAGGTAGGCCAAATGGCCTGTTTCTGTACTATATATCGTACGTAAATCAGGTGAAGTGTTAATTAATTAAAACAAGGACACAAAGGTGTCAGGGCTGGCAGCGTGCCATGACCACGGGAAGTGGCAGTTTGTGGAGAGTATAATATTTCTGGACAATCACACAGACAGCGTCTACATTTGAACAAAATAAATTCAGAATTATTGAGCTGATGGCCAAGGTACCATGCTCCAGGAGGCCATTCAAGTTGCAATGGGGAGGAAAAAAAGAAAGCAAGTGTAACGTAAGCAAGTTTGCTGACAATAGAAAGTGGGAAAGAAAGCTGTCAGGAGGATGTGAAGAAGATTTAAACAGGTTCAGTGATTACACTCCATCTGTTATACTCGTGCTCAAAGTACAGAAATCTGAAATTACCCACTTTTGGCAGGGAAAAGTAGAAAAGCAGAATCTTTGAAAATGGTTTCTTGTTGGTACAGGACTTGAATATTGCTCAAAAGTGGCACATTGCTGAAATTTTTGGTTCTGCACTCCAGGACAACAAAGCATGCTGAATTTCAAATGAATAACAGCCTATACTACAAGGGAAAAGGTGCTAATTGTCAAGTTAACTCTGAGGTATTGTCGCAAAGAATGTAGAAAGCTGCAGGCTCCCAAAGCTCCTGGGTACAAGAAGAGAGATTGGAAAATGTTTACATTCAGAGGCACCTGGGTGTCTTTCTATACAGATCACAGAATGACAACATGCAGGTGCAGTAAGCAGTTAGCAAAGAAGTGGTGTCCTGTCAATCCTGGTTATCCATGAAAGATAGAAGCATGGACTTGCCGTGGATGCCACTTCCAATAACTATGAAGAACTACATGATGTTTACTCAGGCAGCGTCTCAAGGGGTGGTGATGGCCGATTGGTATTATCACTGGTTGATTTGTTGAGAAGCCCAGGTAATATTCTAGAAACCCTGGTTCAAATTCTGCCACAGCAGATGGTGCAATGTGAACTCAAACAAACTTTAATTAAGAGTCTAACAATGACCATCAAACCGTTGCCAATTGTCAGAAAAGACCTAGTTCGCTAATGTCCTTTAGGGAAGGAAGCTGCCAGCCTTATCTGTTCTGGTCTACATGTGACTCCATATCCACAACAATGCCCTCTGGGCAACTGTATCAGAGATAGTAGGAACTACAGGTGCTGGAAAATCTGAGGTAACAAGGTGTAGAGCTGGATCAACACAGCGGGACAAGCAGCATCACAGGAACAGGAAGGCTGACGTTTCGGGTTCTGATGAGGGGTCTAGGCCTGAAACGTCAGCCTTCCTGCTCCTATGATGCTGCTTGGCCCGCTGTGTTCATCCAGCTCTACACCCTGTTATCCCTCTGGGCAATGCATGTGTGACTGGAGGCCAGTGTTCAGTGGCCTATCACAGGGATCAAGTCCCTTATTTGTTTGTGATATACAATATAAACAATGTAGGTGACAATGTGGGGTTGTGGGGGCAGGGAAAAAGTAGAGAGAGGCAAGTTTGTCAATCACAAGATAAAAGTTTGGCCAGGTGGCTGGCAGTGAGGAGGA